AAAAAAAACTTTCTTTAAGTTTATTTTGCTTGTTGGGTTTATTCTATGCACAGATATAGTAAATTTTATTTTTGTAATAAAGCGTGAACTGTTGTCTACAAGTGTTTGTAAAAGGTTTTTGATTCGATTCACGCGTTTGGGCACAGCAACCCAAAATCTTTGTACAAATTCATAAAGAGTACCCGAAAATTTGGCGGATACAAGTTTTTACGCGGCAAACGATGAGTTGTATCATGCACTAAATTTTTTTAGCCCCACTTATAGCATGCGATTTATTCGCTTGACATTTGCGCTCAAAAGCATTTTGTCTCACACGAATCACCCTATGTGCGACCGCCTGTTCATTGACATTTGTCGGCAAACAAATTAAAGAAAAATCCAATTTCTCATTGTTCGTGTACGTGCGTGTGGAAAATTTGTGAAAATTGTGATTGCGAAAGAAATATTGAAGGATTATAAGGAAGTCTATGAAAAGGCTATCAAATATGTAAACGAGGAAAGTAAAATTGATCCGCCTACAGATCCATTTCGTTCACACTATGCTGCCCGCGAGCTATTGCTGCAGATGAAGGAAAATCTTAAAAATTCACTAGCTTCAATTGTCACTGAAGAAATTTCAACCGGGGTGCTGCTACAGGAGTGTCTAGATTTGGTGGAGCCACACAAAATGAAACCTGAGGCTATTATTCCATATGTGGGTGCTCTCAATGAAATAGGCGTATTGCAAGCAAATCGTTCGGAATATAAACTGGCATTCGACACGCTAATCAAATCTGAACAAGCATATAGAGTTCTTGAATACCTGTGCCAAAGCTGTGTGTATTACTGATATATTTGGCACACCCGATAAGGTGGAAGAGGGCAAAGGAACCAAAGAACTTGAAGGCCTTTACACTTTGTGTACATTTTACTTGGCACAGGTATATGGGCATTTGGGTGAACTGGAGAAGTCTGCAAAATATTGCCATATGACGCTGCGCCGCCAATTGGATGCCAACTCTTACGAACCCATTGATTTTGCGTTGAATGCGGCTACGTTATCACAGTATTTTATAGGTGAAAATATGTTTAAAGAGGCGCGGCATCACTTGGCTGCAGCTACCCATATTATGGCTGAACACGAGGCCAATATGTTGACGCCAGAGTTGACTGAGGAACAGCGCGCTGACGTAACAGAAACATTTAAGCATAGGTATGCAGATGTAGCGCGCTGTTGGTCTAAATATGGGTTGGCGTTATTAAGTGCTTCGAAAGAACGTTTGTATAACGACGACGACGAAAAGGTGACTAAAGGTAGGATAATTTCCCTTTTGTACTTACCAAGTTATTAAAAATTTTGTTGTTTCCTTTTTGCTTGCAGATGTAAAACGCCTGACCGTTGATCCAAATGCGTACCGCTTTCCCGGACTGAAAATTGACCTTTATGAAGATCGCGTAACTGCAGATTATTGTTTGACTTTTGACGACGCGAAACCTGTATATCATTTCGTTATTGACTGGCTAGACCAGGCAAAAGAGTACTATAAACCAGATATTGAAGCGACGGAGTATGCCAAAATTATTAAGGATTACGCAGAATTGTATCAGCATATTGCTTTCTTCGAAGAGGACCCAGTTAACCAAGCAAAAATGCAAAAACGTCGCGCGAAATACTATGAAGATTTACTTGAACTCCTCAATCCAGTCTTCTATATGGGTATCTGTCGCGAATGTTGGTATGGCGCCGGGCTCTCCTATTGTGCCATTTTAGATATTAAATTAGATGCACTAAAAGAACGTCGTACCCCACAGCCACAAGATTTACAAAAGATAAATCAAACCTGCCAAAAAGCAATACAAAATTTCCAAGAATTTGTAAAATCGTACACGGACAAAGATAGTGACACGATCAAAGCCAGTGCTGACGCGGAGGAGCAACGCAACGTGCTCTATGCCTACTTTCATTTGGGACGCTTACATTTCAAAATGATAACACCCGATCTAAACTTGCAACTTGAGAATATGAATAATAGCCTCAAGTATTATAAACTTTTTACGGATGAATGTGCAGCCCGCAAAGAGATTGCCGAAACGCTGAACGCCGAAGTGGGCGTTTGCCGTGAAATGGTTAATTTGTTGCCGCTGAAAATTGCCAATATAAAAAAACGTTTGCCAAAGTAGATGCACCACATCCACCACATGTATCACATGCGACATTTATTTATTTATTGCATTTAAATTTTAGTTGAAATTGATTGAGGATTGAGACATTTTAATGTGATAACTTGTGTAAAAGTGATTCAGGCGACGGTGCTATTTTGGTACCTCCATGGTTTGCTTCTGCTTGAGAAAAGTAAGTTCGGAACTGTCCAATAGAATGCAATAATTTAAAATGAACGCTTAGGGACAAATACATACAATGTAGCTAAATACGTTGCCAATTTGGTTAATAATTAAATGAATTTTAGAATTGCAATAATAAATACAGGTGGATGGTTTTTCAAATCAATATGTAATTCGACCGTCTAAGGGCTGTGCACAAACATTCTCTATATGTATGTACGGTGACCAGATTTCTGTGGACCAAAATCGGGACATTTCTAAAGCATCGAATCCGAGCATACAATTTTATTTTTAGAATAAAAAGACATAATATCCTTTAATACAGTTTTATTTAAGACAAAACAAAGAAAACAACTTGCATATATGTTTTAGCAAGTTTTGGCTACTTTTCTATGTTTAAAAAATATTGATGACCTTTTTATGAAAATATTGCTTACTAATATCTAAAAAAAAAAAAATCTGTATATCAAGATTTCAAACTTTGTAGAACATTTACAAAAATTCGACGAATTTTGACAAATGTTGGTCGAAATTTTAAACTTTTTAATCAGATTTTTAGAATTTTTTGAGCGTGCAGTTTTGTAGCCAATCAAATTTTAGTACATATAACAAAGTGCAAGTTCGAAGTAGCTTAGACTTGCTGGCAATTTTTTGTTCGCGCATTTTCGTCCATACAAAGTGTGTGCGACAATTTTTTTGTATGGGGGAAAATGGTCAACATCTTCCACAAAAAAATTTATATTTTTAAATTCGCACTTCGTTTTACTAGAATTGAATGGGCTACAAAACTGCATACTCTGAAGCTTTCTAAGAAATATATTAAAAAAGCTAAAAATTTTGATAAAACTTTAGTCGAATTTCGCTAATTTTTGTACAAAGTTTTATTTAAATGGTTTTTGTTATATAACGAGCTAGACTTTCATAAAAAATAATAAACATTAAATAATCAAAAGGGGAATGGCCAAGAAATGCTAAAATGTCTCTTCCCTATTTCTATTTTCGCCAATGTATCAAGAGCTTATATTTTATTATAATTTCACTAAATTCAGGATAGAATCGCTTCATTAAAAAAAAAAAAAAAAAAATTATAAAAACCTTATAAAAATGTTCGACAGAAATGATGACAGCAATATAGCGAGAGTAGCAGGTACATCGGTACTGTCCCGCCAAAATCGGTACGAATGGTCACCGTATCTATATGTATTTCCGAACCTTCTAGTCATAATCTATCCACAATAACGAATATAAAAATAAGTTTCCTTAACTATTACTTATAATAACTAATCCCGTTCATGCCTTATGCAAGAGTCGTAACTATTATACAATTTAAAACAAAAATAAAAATTTAAATTAGCATAAAATTTCTCATAAGTTTGGAAGAAAAAAAGGCTTCGGTTTTATTTCAATAAAAAAGTAAAATAAATTTTAATTCACATCACAACGAAGCAAACTTGTTCTTTTGTGCAGTCGTAACTCTTTCTTTCGATCCCAACGAGCATTTAATTGTTATCGCTCCCGCCTTATGAATCTTCAATTCCTTATACAGATTCTCAGCTAGACGTCTTATCGGCATAGCTGTAATGCCGTCCAGCAGATTTTCGCGCGCATACTTCACCGTCTTGTCCACAATGTCATCAACATTTATACAACGCGGATCTATATGCGTATCATCTTCCAACAGCTGCATAAGTAAGCGCGTAGTTTTCTCGCTTTTAAATTCCTCCAATGGCAAGAGCTCAATAAGCTGCTCGAATAGATGCAACAATATGAATTGTGTTCTATTCAGCACAGCATTCGAGTGTTCCAAAGTCGTCAGCACATTCTGATAGATGCCGCTAATCAATTCCTCTGTATTCACTTCAGACGACTGGTAATCGTATGCGTTCAGCACATCACGAAACATTTTCGCTAAATTATCCTTGGACATATGCAGCAGATACTTTTTCGGCATCATCGATTCCAGCGCTTGCGTTATACAATCCAATATGCCATCGGTTATGTTGCCTTCGAAGGTGTAGGCAGCTTGGGCCAGATAGCGTGTGGCCTTCTTCGCATTCTTACGTATATTATCGGCGGTGGCGTGCCGATTGAACCACTGTGCGAAATATTTTTGTACAACTTTCTTGATGCGATCGATAGTAAACTGATCTGGTTCGATGCGTTGCATAAAAGCTTCGGGTGCTAATATTTTGGGGCAGTTAACATCATCATCATCCACTTCAACGGTCTTTTCAATTTTATCTTCCTGGACGACTTCGTGAAATAGTTGCAGTGGTTTGGATTTCAAGCGTAATGTGCAAATTTCACGCTCCAGGCACTGCGAATGTTTGGGGCGAGGGGGAAGTAATAAAAAATATGAATGCAGTAATTTAAAAATACATAAATAGGTAGTACACATAGAATCTACATAGCCCTCTAGTTCCTTACGATCTTCTTAGTATGTGTTCACCAAAAAAAGGGCAAAGTGGAAGAGTGCACCAGGGGTCACTATTACCAACAGACGTCCAACGAACGCAATTCGCGCCGGCTCATTAACTCAATAGCCGCTCGCTTCATTTCCCTGCCGGACCATACCAGTATCTAAGACCTTCGTCTACAAAACTCCTACTTAGAGATTATTAATGAGCATAAGCAAAAAAAGGGTATAGAACATTTAGAGTCAAGCAACCACCAAGCCAAAGCCAGCATGATATGGGTGAATGTGAAGTTCTTGTCCTACCCAAAGAAGCACAATGGCCATGAACCTATCATCTTCGGCATCAAAACAAACTCGTACCCTAGGAAGCTCTCGCGAGCTTTCTTCGACATTTTATTTAGCATCCAGACAACGCCGAAGGTGTCCATCCGAATCATTCCTCACCAATATTCACACACGTGGAAGTACAGACAGCCAAAAGTAAATCATAATCGTCTAAATCCATCAGCGGCACCTAGGACAAAGGCAAATAAACGTTGTTCGCAACATACAAGGCAAAACACGGCACTCCGGACACCCGAACAGACGTCTACTTGCGGCTGAGCCCTCGCCAAGGCATGTCAGAAGACATCTTTGCAAACTTACAGACGAGGTGCAGAGGTTCATAAAACAGCCACTGACCGCGACAGCGTACCGATTGGTATCGCCGATCTAAACGGGGTTAGGTCGCTAAAACAACAACAACTGCGTACCGACAGGCCATAAACGGCATTCATGGGGAATGGGTATTAACTCTTACCAACTCCGCACCTGTGAATGCCGTTTTAGGAATGCAACCACCCGATGTGATCGAGAACAACGTTTAAGAGATTTCGCCGACCTAAACAGGGTTAGATCGCCGAAACAACAGCCCTAGG